GAGTTTGGTCGCTCGATCGTTTTCGCTCATATACCTTCTCTCAATAAAGGAATAAAATAAAGTCCTTTTAAGCAAAGAATTAGGATCATATTCATTTTCATTCCATAATCCCAACAATTTTCATATCGTTGGAATTTTCGATTTTTGCCACTTAAAGCTACATTGCGATCTACGAGGTGCAAGAAAGTTACGAAAGTGATTACTGTAATAAATTCTGTTTCTTTTTTTTATTTTGTTGCAATGTTATCAAATCAGCTTCGGTATAGTGGTCGAATCGGAAGCAGAAAATAATACATCACACAAAATATTGCCACTTCATCGAAAGAATGTATACTTCGATATTCCTTATCAAGTTATATATTTGATAAAAGTGTATTTAAACAAAACATACAAAATATCAAACATATAATTACAGTAACTTACAGACTTATCAAAGAGAGATTGCGACAGTTAACTGGTCGATGGAATAAAAGTGGAGCAGTTAGGATCTGTAATTACCACCTTGCATTTTGTAGATCGTGCCTAGTGATACCATTGTTTCAAGGAACGTTTGTTAGAGCTTGTAATTAATTCGTTCGACATGTGTTAACGTTCGACGAAGCCTGATTTTTTCGCGGTATTTCCGGCGAAGACCGCGGTGTGGCTCTTTCTAAACAATACAAAGACGGAGCAGGCTTCTTTTCAGCGAGCAGGCTGCCATTCAAGCCTGTTTCCTTTCTTCCGCCTCGACAAAGGACGGACTTAATAAATTGGGCTGCGGGCCGAAGACAGAAGAACGAAAATCAATTCTACTCGACCGGACGTATTGTCTGTCGATGGGACCGCCCTAAACGATCAACTCCCGACCCGAACTTTCGCCCCCGTTCACAGAAAAACCCAACGTTTTCTATTAGGCGGTTGCATAAACTCATCCATCAGGTTTTTCAATCGCGAAGAAACCCGGCAGCTCGTCGGACGGCATCGGATTGGATGGCGGTGACACAAAGTTTCTTTGACCCTAGTTCCCGAACGTAATCGATACCTCATTTGATTGCTATTAGTTGGAGAGAATTATTACTTCCAAGGCTGTTTTAATCATTGCTTTGTCGAGGATCTTTGTGCAATTGTAGCAAATAACGTTGAAATCAGCGTTCGTCAATTTTACAAATGTGTTCCACTAATTTAATAACAAAATATGATTTTTTAATGTTTTTTCTATTTTATTGTGACTGATAGGTGGATTTTTATTTGACATTTCATAAAATATTAACGTTTCGATGTAAATAGGTTAATACATTTTTTCAACTAACGGCAAGTTGCACCCATTGACGTATTGAAAAAAAAAATGTTATTACATTTAAAAATACGAAGTTGACCTTGATATGAGTGGATTAGTATCATAGCGGCGTAAGTCACATTTTTCTAATTGCGAGAAACAAGTAGTGTTATTGCTTAACAACGAGCGTATTATTTACTGACCAAATTTATTGCTAAGATAATTTAAAGTTACATTAATTTACATTCACTTATTCCACCTGCTTTTTTAACATTTTGGCATGTACAAATTAAATTTTTAAGACATACATGAAGCACAACCACCTAGTTATTAATAATAAAAGAAAAATCTTATATCATTTCATTATCAAAAAATCAATATTTTCAAAAATGTGACTCATGCTACTATGATTCTAACCCACTCATACGCTGACCTTCAACTGTTCGGATATCAAAATTAATATTTTTAAGGACCAGAAAAGCGTCACAAAGATGGTAAAAAAATTATAAATATTCCAAATCGTCTACAGAAAATTTGCAATACTTTCTTATCTTATAAAATACTTGACTAAATCCAAACTCGAAGAGTATAAACTCTGAAAGTAAAGAGATAAATGATGCTTTTACGCGTCCATTCACGAAGAAACTAATAGCACCGGAATATGCACTGCTCGATAGCACCGAAATTTGTAGTGAAATAGTTTTCGTTACTGGTAATAGTAGTCGTGCAAACCGAAGTGGCAATATGTGGTAAGCCAGCCTGTAGAGCAACCTTCTCCTGCTGAACTCGACGTTTCAATTTAGTTTGATCGTCTCCACTTAAATAACGCCGAAGGACTAGCTCACAATGATAAGGGAGGTTCACAAGGACCCTTGGTGCACTGTCGCAGGACATTTACCCGAGACAAAGGGTCTGTACATTTGTAATTCGACGCACCGTGTCGCGCTGTTGTTCTCTCCCCCCTCCCTCTTTCTCTGTCTTACGCTCTCTCTCTCTCTCTCGCTCGTTCTCTCTCTCTCTCTCTCTCTCTCTCTCCGAGAGCGACCCCCTGAATATTGAACCAAGGAGGCGAAACTTGCCAGAAGCGGATTAGACCAGTCACTTAGCGAACAACACCGCGAGAACGAAAACAGGGGTATCCGAGATTATGGGGAAGTTTACTGCGCGGACCGAAAGGGTGGCAGGGTTATTGTTGCCGCCGCGGCTTTACGAGAAAAGTTCCGCAATCTGGCTGAAAGATGTCCTCCGACGGATCGAATGAAATGCAAAACATCCCGTTGTCTTACAACTTAAATTAAACGGCGACGCTCGCCGCGGATTTTTCTCAAAACAACCACGGAATGGTCGGCCACGAAACTCACCCTTGCAGAACTAGACAAATCTCCCGGGGGAAAATTTATTTCTGGCTCCATTTTTCCCGAATATTAAACCCATAGCTCTACTTTTACTAAAAATTAATTACCAGTTACACTTCCCCCAAAACCGAATGTACTAGTTTCATTCCCGGCAAATATTAATTTATTGTTAAATTGCCAAAAATTAGTAAATTTTCTTCCTCCGAAAATTAATTAGTAAATCTTCTTCCTCTAAGAATTAATTACTAAATCTGCTTCCTCTAAAAATTAATTAATAGGTCTGACTCCCACAAGAATTAATTTCTGATTGCATTTTTTTTCAACAATTATAATTACTAAAGCTACTTTCCACAAACATTAATTTCTACTTCCACTTTTTTCCAAAAATTAATTTCGAGTTTTACTGTCTCGAAAAATTAATTAGTCGGCATCAAGATCGAACATTATAAATGATTTTAATTTCTTGACCACAGACTGTATTATTATTAAAATAGCCGGATGCATTGTTAAATTTTTGTGGTTTACAGGATAATGATTTCTTTTTAAGTTC